GCTTTTTCCCTGTCTTTTCCTTTGGCCTTGTTTTTACCTGCAAGACAACAAGGAGAAAGAGAGCAATCAGTCAGCACTTGGAATCAAGCTTCCAGCCAGGAACTGACTGCCTGGAACCCCTTACCTGATTACTTACCTGGCATTGCTCTCGAGTACTCATCTTCAACATCTTATATGCTTCCAGGGAAGAAGATTCCGCATCTGCTTGAGGAACAGATAGGGCAAGTGTGAAGGATACAAGGAAGCATGTGGAGACAAGCGTAACAGCACACGTGCCGATACATCCATTACTCTGTCAAAAGCAAAAGTATCCCATATCAGCAGGGTGGAACGTACTCTAGATTTGATGGACTTGTTTTGACCCTCAAATTCTTCAGTCGGCCTTATACTCTGGAGGAAACCAGAAAACCCTCCAGCTCAGTTCAAGAATAAGCCTGTGGAAAGTTACTTCTTCAAAAGCAAAAGTATCCCATATCATCTCTTCTCATTTTTCTTCTCTTTATCCTTCATGCTGCCTGCAAGATGGGGAGAAGGTGAACAATCAGTCGGAGCTTTGATTGCTTACCTTGTCTGTCACCTCTTTCAGCAGACCCCCTAGCTCGGCGACTTGGGGGACTCCTACTACATGGTTTGTATCGCGCTTGACCAAGCCTGAAACTACAAGTAAGCTTCAAGTGAAATTGATACATTACCTTGTGCATCTCCACCAGTTAAAGATACCACCCCTGGATGGAGGAAGAGTACTTCCAGAGAAGATGCCACATCTACCTATGAGACAGATAAGGCAAGTCAACGACACCACACTCCGATACTTAGAAGTTTCGTGATTACGAGATCATTCTCCCACAATATTTCCTAATGTCATTTGTACTAAATCATTCACTTGTACTCACTAAAGGAGAGCTTGAACCCTATGTACTTGTGTGTAAACCCTTCACAATTAATGAGAAACTCTTCTATTCCGTGGACGTAGCCAATCTGGGTGAACCACGTACATCTTGTGTTTGCTTTCCTATCTCTATCCATTTATATACTTATCCACACTAATGACCGGAGCAATCTAGCGAAGATCACAAAAAGCGATCCGTTTTCGCTACCTAGGATCTATCTTGCAAGAGAACGGAGAATTAGATGGAGATCTCAACCATAGAATACAAGCTGGATGGATGAAGTGTAAGAGTGCATCCGGCGTGTTGTGTGACCGTCGTAGGCCACTGAAGCTCAAGGGAAAATTTTATAGGACGGCAATAAGGCCAGCGATGTTGTATGACACAGAATGTTGGGCGGTGAAGCATCAACACGTACACAAAATGGGTGTAGCGGAGATGAGGATGCTTCGTGGGATGTGTGGGCACACGAGAAAGGATAAGATTGGGAATGAGGATATCCGAGGTAAAGTAGGAGTAGCCGAAATTGTAGGAAAGATGAGAGAAAATCGGCTCCGGTGATTTGGACATGTGCAAAGAAGGCCGACTGACGCTCCGGTTCGAAGATGTGACTACGGGACAGAGGTTCAGGGCCGAAGGGGTAGAGGAAGACCTAGGAAAACTTTGGAAGAGACTCTAAGAAAAGACTTAGAGTACTTGGATCTAACGGAGGACATGACACAAAACCGAGCGCAATGGCGTTCTAGGATTCATATAGCCGACCCCACTTAGTGGGAAAAGGCTTTGTTGTTGTTGTTGTTGTTGTTGTTAACATCAGTTGTTTTGCTTTGTCCTTACTGTAAGTTTGCTAAGCATTCAAGCCGAATTTGCTGACCATCATACTTCCAGGTGATGTAGTTTATGCTACGGAATTTGGATTCTCTCGACTTTAGTGTCCGGAGCCTAAGAGTTAGGGAATCCAGGGTCTTAATGTGTGGCAAAGCGAAATTGGAGCCCTTGTGTTTGTGTGGTGGGCTAATAAATTGAGTTAATGGGGTCAGTCGAATTTAATTTGAATGGTTTGAATTTTCTAGTGTTTGAGCTCTGAATTGTAAGATCCGGAGAGTAAATTTGTCTTATGCCAGGGACAGTGGTGTTAGGGTTGATGCTTCACGAACACCACTACCACTATGTGGTGTAGTGTTATGGCCATAGGCGAAGTTACATAGGGACAGGGAGGGGGGGCCCTCCCCTTGTCGGAAATGAAGCCCATGAGCGACGGTCCGCCTCTTTGCCCTCGTCAGAAAACCTGCAAGTCGTGAAGCCTCTCCCTTGGCGATGATCTCGACGGATCGTTCTGCCAGATACCAACGTCAGTTTAGTGCCATTTCCTTGTGCGACAGTAGACGGCGGCGGCGGCGGCGGCGATGATTCGGTCTGGTGGAAGGCCTCGTGAAGAAGATGATTAGCAAAACCCTTTTAATCTTTATTACGTCACCGTTTTGTTGAGCGTTCATTTAAATACGACCTGCCGTTTTTTATTTTTGTACTGAAACGACACCACATTCTATTCCACATCCTATCTTTTCTTGGGTTTAAATGGGATTAAAGCCCAACCATAACAAAACCATAAATCCCTCTTTGAATTTTTTTTTTTTGCTCATTTAAAAATATGTTGCAAATATTTTTATTATTAAATATTTACCAACATGATACAATTGTTCGTATTGACGTGTTGTATTGTGTAGTCATGTCTGTATTCATGCTTTATAATGCTTGAATGAAGGCTATTGTTGCCGTTGTTGTGTTGTGAGTGACCTTTTTTTAATTAAAAAAAAAAAACAGGTCCAAAACGATAGAACAACGTCATTTTGGACATGAGAAAAGAAAAAAGACAAGCGGCATCATTTCAGTGGTTAAGTTTCGCTCTTTTTATCGACAATTATTAGTTTCGCCACTGATTATGGCTGGATACTTGATGGACCTAGGGCATTTAACAAAAAGTTGTACGGAGTATAACACGAGTAAATTTGCCTTACGTAAATTTGCATTTCGTGAAGACGTGGCGGTTATATTTGAACAATAATTTATTTTTTTGTAAACATTGGTTTTGCATCTTAAGGGGTAAGGAAAAAGGTGGACAAGTCCACAGAGGAGCAATTGACAGTTGATGTAGATAGACATGGATGCTGTGGCGGGCGTAGGAAATGCATGCCAGGTTAAAGGAGAATTGACGAACAAGGATCCTCTCCGGGTCCTCTTTGTGGGGATCCCAAGATTAATTAATTGTGTCTGTTCATCGTATATTGTGAGATCAGTTTTCGTTATATACTATTTATATTTAATTTAAAATTTTAAAAATTTAAAATATTTCTAACATTTGTACAATAAACGAACATGATTAATTGATCATCCAGATTTTCATAAAAAGAATCCGAAAATAATACTTATCCAGAATAGCCAAGCGTAGTTGCGTTTCTAATCGGGTGAGTTTAAATTTGGAAATTTTCAAAAGTCATGATGGCCAACACATCTGAATGTTGAAAGAAACCATGTGCATTGCCATCCAAATCCACACACAACACAATGATCACATCTTGTGCTTAGCGGGATGCCACAAAAGACAATCTTTGAAATTTGAGTTGTACGACGTTATTATTCTTTCATAAAAATATAGAATTTTGTTAATTATAGATATATTTATATCCGATCTTTAAGTTAAATCAAATCTGTTTTACATCTTTTATAACGGAGATAATAGTGACATTTCTAGCACTTTATTAGTTTTAATTGTGAGCCTCAAAACCTATACCAAATACCCCACAAAAACACATTTCAAAATTAACGTTGAACTCATCCTGCAGCACATCAAGCCGCAGGAGCTCGCCCGACCAACATCATCAAAAGTGCCATTCACCCTTGGAGAACGGTGCGAGGGGCCATCCACCTTTTGCCTTTCGAACACATACATGCATCAGTGAACGAATGCAAAATTAGGAAATAAAGTTAAACAGTAAGATAAGGATCCCCAAACGTTTGAAAAAAGTAAGCAGGACACGAAACGACGTCGTTTGACTGCGTCAGCGTGTTGCGGTGTCTGCCTGGCGCAGCATTTCCTTTGGTAATAATGATGACATGCTGATGCGTCGTCGTTTCCTCCGCAGCCTCGCGCTTGCTTTGCATGGCGTCGCGTCGCTATGCGGCAGACATGTGTCCTCGTGTGGCCCACAACGACCGAAAATCCCCAAAATTAACGCTAAATTTCACTAGTAGCCCTCGTACTTTTGTTGTATATTTTATTTGCCCCTATAGTTTTCCTTACATTTTCATCCTCCTCCAACTAAGAAATCCGTCTTTCAATCCTTTCAAGCACGTGTTTTAATTTATTTCATGATAGAACAATGTGCACAACTAAGTTGGTGTTAATTTTGCCACTTAGTAATACAGTTTAGTGACATTCATCTTTACTTGCAAGTAAAAAGTCTTAGGTTTAATTATCGCCACCTTCCCTTATAAGTAAAAAATCTTTGGTTTGATTATTGCCAAATGCGAATTTGAATCACATTATTGTTAGTTCATTATGAGATTAAGCCAATTATTTCTTCCTTAGTGTTAATGATATCGTTTGTTAAAATAAAAGTTGGTGTTAATTCCATTAAAGGTAGACGTATATCATATTTATTAGAGTGAATCTACCCTCTAAATGCATTTAGTCGATATCCTCATTTTTACACTATGGATTAGTTAAAGCAAAATCTCATTCATTTATCAAAAAAAAAATAGTGTCAATGCCATTTTATGACGATGAAGTCATTTTTAACTGAGTAAACTCTATGGTCTAGTTGAATTTTTCAAATAAGAAGTACCCATAATTTTTTTATTGCTAAAAAATCGATAATAAATTGATATTGAAAAAGATCTCAACTCATGAGGGAGAAAACTTTGATTCGAGTTACAAAGAAGTGCTCATAATTAAATGAAAATATAATGGAACCATAAGGATGAAAGTGTAAGCAAAAAGATATTACTTGAACGAAAGTGAAAATTCGACGGGTCTTTCGTGAAAATTTAATAAAAAAAAAAAAAAAAAAATTAAGAAAGAAACAGAAGAAGGAGGGGAGAGAGAGAGAGAGAGAGAGAGAGAGAGGAGGATTTTTGCCGCTTTTGCGTTTGGGTTTGGGGGGGTTTTTAAAAGGTTTTTCCTCACACCACCGAAAAACGAAACTGGTCTTCCCTTCCAATCACACCCTCTGATTCCTCCTCCAAATCTCCGACCACCGTCTGTCAACCACTCCCTCAACGGCGCCGTTTCGGCGTTTCCTTCCTCTTCCTCCTGTCATTTCCTTCTCTCTTCTCCTCCCCCAATCTTGCCTCCGTTGATCTCATGGCCCGTCTCCTCTGTTCGGCGCTGCCGAACAACGTCGTCTTCCGCGAGGATCGACCCTGCCCTTCGCCGCCCTCGCCGTCATTGCCGACCACCAACCCCGATCCCTCCGTCATAGCCACCGAATCTTGGGCCGGAGCCGAGGAGGCAACCCAGGAGATAGTCTCAAAGATTCAGCCCACTCTGGCGGCCCACCAGACGAGGAAGGAGGTCATTCAATATGTGCAGAACCTCATCACATGTAACGTCGGGTGTCAGGTAATTACAATTCTGCCCAATTACATTTCTTTCGAATTCTGTTTTGCCATCTGGGTTAGTGTTTGTTTTGTGTAATTCTTGTGCAATTAGGTGGTAATGGCGATGGTTTATCTGCTCATGTCCAATTTAGTTTTTCAAGGTAATGACTTTAATAAATGGAATGGGATTTTCTCGTGTTTTCCTGTTCGATTTCTGTTTAGCAACGAAATGTTGGTACTTGGTGCAAACCGTGAAGCAATATCGTTTTTCGAGTTCATTTTTTTCTGAGGAATCGGTGAAGTTATAATGTTGTTTCTGTGTTTGTTCATTTCACTGACTTGCTTATAAGTTACGATGGCGCTTTTTGTATTGTTATCTCACAGGTTTTTCCTTATGGGTCAGTTCCTTTGAAAACGTATCTGCCTGATGGCGATATTGATATGACGGTATTTGGCAGTGCAAACATTGATGAAGTCTTTGCAACTGATGTGTATGCAATTATGAAAGGCGAGGAGAATAACGAAGCTAGTCCATTTCATGTGAAGGATGTACATTACATTGATGCCGAGGTTCTTCCCCACTCGATGCCTTAATATTTTGTTGGGAACCTTCAGTCTCTTCAGTTGAAAACATTTATAATTCCATATATTATTAGAGTTCGAGTCTTTGATGTAGGTATTATCGCATTTTTCTTTTGTTCGCATCGACATACAATACTTGTTCTTCTGTGGGATTTCTTTCCTATAACTTCGTCATCTCTTTTTGTGGTAATGTATGTTTGGGAGTGTTGAGATTGATGTGTTATATCTGACCAAGTTTTTCTCCACAGATACTGTGGACTTGTCCTGAGTGTAGAATAGAATAGATATTAATAAGCCGGTTAGCAAAATAAAGTTATTTTGTTAAATGTTCTCAATTTTCTCTCGAATATTGTTTCTTCCGAACTTTGTCTAGAACTGTTTATGTTGGTTTGGAGTTCTCCTGTGGCATATCACCCCCTTTTATTTATACAACAAAAACTGTTTAGCTTTTCTATTTGCCAGGTTGAATTTGTTTGACTTTACTTTATTAATAGGGTAAGTTCCTGATATTCATGATTGGATATTGTGGAACTCAACATCTGCAGGCATTTTGTTGAGTGCTTTTACTTTCTTGCGTTTTAACATCAGTGCTTCATGTTCATTGATGACGCTCCTAGGTTGATGAAGATATCATAATTTTCTTTGTTAGACATTTTCAATTTCCATTTGCGAGGTTACGTTATCTAAAATTTGGAGCTTTTCGTTGCAGGTTAAGCTTGTGAAGTGCATTATACAAAATATAGTTGTAGATATATCCTCCAATCAGTTAGGAGGATTTAGTACACTGCACTTTCTTGAACAGGTATTAGCAATTCAAATTTTGATTAGCTACGATTCATATTGTATAACTGAAAGTTCACTCAGGTTTGATCTTTGGGTCATATTTCTTATGTTGCTTCCTTTGCAGGTTGATAATTATATTGGCAAAAATCATCTGTTCAAGCGGAGTATTATTCTGGCAAAAGCCTGGTGCTACTATGAGAGTCGTATTCTTGGGGCCCATCATGGTTTGATTTCAACATATGCTTTGGAAACATTAATCCTATATGTTTTCCATTTTTTTCATTCGTCACTGGATGGCCCTCTGGCAGTGAGTACTCCCAAGTCAACTTTGAGTCCTTATTTCAAATACATAGATAAGTTTAAGAGCCTAATTGTTTTTCATTTTTATAGGTCCTTTATAGATTTTTGGATTACTTCAGCAAATTTGACTGGGAGAACTACTGTATAAGTTTAAATGGACCAGTATGCAAATCGTCCCTGCCTGATATAGTGGGTAAGAGATATTATTGTTTGTTTGTGATGTTAGATGCTTTATTTATGTTTTCTTGCTCTGTCTCTCTCTGACTCTCTGACTCACTCACTTAAAAACTGCAGTTGAGGCACCAGAAAATGGGAGAGATGATCTACTGCTGAGTGAAGAGTTTATTAGAAATTGTGTGGAAATGTTCTCTGTTCCATCAAAGGGGCATGAGACAAACTTGCGAGCTTTTCCCCTGAAGCATCTTAATATAATAGATCCGCTAAAACAGAACAACAACCTTGGGCGTAGTGTCAGCAGAAGTATGCATTCTGTCTCTCTCTTTCTCATGCTGTTGTGGAGTTTTATCGTAGTATGATTGATGGGTTTTGTACAGGTAACTTCTATCGAATATGCAGTGCTTTTAAATATGGAGCTCGCAAGCTCAGTTGGATTCTTTCGTTACCAGGGGAATGCATAGCAGATGAGCTGCCCAAGTTTTTTGCAAACACTTTGGATAGGCGTGGAAGCAATGGTCAGACAAATGTGCACAATAATGCGTTGTCTGGGGGTTCTGAAGCTTTGAACATTTTGTTGGAGCTTGGTGGAGATTTTGACAGTCATGGAATGAACCTGCAATATGGTCCCTTTTTCCCTGGATCTGCTACATCACCTCCTTTGTTGCCCAGTCCTCCCTTGTCACCTCAGCCATGGAAAGAGAACCCATGGGGAGGTACGTCTGAAGCCCTTCAGTTCCATCAGCATATTAATTCTCAAACTAACATAAATGGTGTTGATTGGGGAGTACATGCGTACCAAGCAAATGATTCCATTATCTCCGTTGCTGCTTTCAGAGGAGAAAAAAGGAAACCCCGAGGGACTGGAACCTACATCCCCAATGCGGTAGTGCCATTATGTTTTCTATATAATCATTTTCTCAGACTGCATTCATGTAATTTTAGATTCATGAGCTTCATATTTTTGGGTTTATTTTTCTACAAAGTCATTCTCAGAGGACTACAGTCCTGGTTTTCATAATCTCATGGTTATCTGCTTACAGTCTTTTCAGTGTTACCGTCCCTTTAAGGATAGGTTGCCTGGGAGGGGAAGGAAACAGGCACCAGGAACTTGTTTTCGATTTCAGAGACACGCCTTTGGTTATGGCTTCACTGTAGCTCCTCAAGAGTCAATCTCCCCTAAAGAATGCAGCCGAGAGCTCTCAGAAGTGGAGTACCCAATTCTAGGTCATGGAAACTCTGCGACATTAGATTACCATCAACCTCACATGCCTCTTTGGAAATCATTTCATGGCAACAGTTTCTCCAACTTGCCAGCGAAACTCGAATCTAGATCCTCATCCCCTCAGTTATGGGAGGAGGCACCCATGCCGGAATTGGACCATCAAGCAGAGTTTTTTGGAGCCGATGAGGAAAGGTAGTTGGATTTGTTAATTCGAAGTAGTCCTGCACAACGGTTTTCTTCTAAAGCTAAAAAGCTCTCCTGTTGTTTGTGTCTTCAGGATTGAAGAACAATCAAACCTTTTGAAAAATGAAGATCAGGCATTCCACCTGAAAAATGAAGATGATTTTCCGCCGCTCAACTCTCGAGTGCCGTTGAAGGAAGGATTATGCGTTGGACAATGAAGACACTAGACTGAGCTTCCGGGAAGACTTGTCCCCCTCACCTTCGATCTCCTTGGGACCTCCGTTGTTAGTTGTTTCGATATAGCATACACATATTGTACATTCTGGTTCGTTTTTGTAGTTACATATCTACGCGCACAGTCGTGCGCTTTCATTGGAAGGGGTGGATGATGTATATACGGGGTAAAGTTGGCCCCTCGGCTTGTCATTCCCTCCCAAAGTTTCTAGTTTTAAACACATGATGAAATCTATAAATGTAACTAGGAAAGTTTTGGTTATGTGGATTTTTTTTGGTCGAATGTTATTTTGAATCGATGAAAGTTAATTGCAGTGAAGTTGAGTTTATTTTGGTGAAGTGGTAACAGTTGCAGACGTGGGTTTAATCAAGTTGCTTAGAACAATGTGTTTTTCTCTCAGCAATCATGTTCAAACCTAAGTTTGATCAATTAGAACATCGTTGTACTAAAAAAACACAAGAATTCTACAAAGGTTACCATGCAGGAACCTTATGCTTAAGATGAACAAGTTGTCGCACGTAAGGGCTCGTTTGGTGCCACAATTCAATTGGATTAGAGGGTCAAAGTGAATGATTTTTGTTTTAGCAGAAAATTATAAGTGATTAGAGATAAAAGAAACTCTCACCTGACATCGTTTTACGTTTTTGTGAGAATTAAGTAATTCTTCTACCTTCATGTTGGGCAATATTTATTCATTTCTTCATGCAACGCACATTGAACGTAGCAAGTTTTCTACTACAATTACATTCTTGGGGTTGCACCTTCAATTAGGCATTCACATTAATTACGTATTTCTCAGGCAACTGACCAAGAAGGCACCAGTGGTCTAGTGGTAGAATAGTACCCTGCCACAGTACAGACCCGGGTTCGATTCCCGGCTGGTGCATCCATTTTTTTACTTTTTTGTTCATGAGAAAGAGATTTATCTCTGACCTTTTGCCCTTTGATTTTTCAGAAAAATAAATAATGAAAAGGATAGTTTTGTCTAGTCATATTCCAACGTGGCAACGGATTTTAGGGAAGAAACCAATAAAGTCGTACTTGGGCGGCACTAATTAAGTAAAGAAGGTGGGAAAGAGATGTTCTCTAGATTTTTATATCAAATTCACATAATCAATGAATTTGAAATTTTAAAATTTGACTTAATGGATAAAGTTATTATAACTTTTAATGAATTTTCATTTTTTTAACAAATTTTAAAAATCCAAATTCTTTGATTATGTGAATTTGGTGGAAATGATGATTTTCAAAAAAGAGCATCTAAATTGCCTTCTCCTCACAATGATTATTCTTAATTAAATTATTAATTATTATACAAAGACAATGCTTAAATTACTTCAACTGTATAAAAATTGGCTGAATTCATGTGATCTGTCCATTTCATTTCAGTTGCCTGCCTCCTTCCTTCAACGTCACAATAAATCTTTCGAGCCAAAAACCTCTTGCTAATTTCCACAAGTTCAGGTTCAAGCTCTGCGGACCAAGCAAAATGTGGGCGGATTAATTAACTCAATATGTTTTACTATTTGACGATTAGGCAGATCATGACGTTCGTGTACGCATCTTTAATTAATTCACGTAGAAGGTCGTAATACGAGAAAGGTAAGCTAACCATAAAAAAATCTATTTGTGTCGATTTACTATTAGTTATCACGTATAATAAAAGACAAATCTCTCTATCAAGGTTATTTATATATTCTAAAATATGATCGATATGTGATTTGAGGGATTAGGAGGAACTTTTGCATGTCATTAGGTCGTATATATATATTCCCGTGCAAGTGTAGCACTCGTACGAAGACGTATGACATCCAAGTCTTCCTACAGTATTAGAGCCACGGTTTTTCGTACCAAACTACTCGAAAAACAGATAAACATCGAGAGATATCAGGAAATAATACAGTAAAACAAAGGTAGGTATAAAACTGTAATTTTTTGTACCTGTTCATCCTACTTTTTGTTGTTATTTACGCACGTAAAGATTTACATGCCAAATTAATCAATGGGTACAGAGCTGCCTATATAATAATACTTAACTATAATTACCCGCACTATAATATATAACCATATATATGTATATATATATATATATATATATATGTGAAACAATCATTGTGTTTGACTGTTTTCCCGTTCGTAGTGCATGAACGTACAAGTCATGACTTGTTTCATTATAAAAAAGAAAGAAAACGGTGTGCTGTGTAAACCACATAAGCGAAAGTTTATCCATTTAAACTATGATACCATTTGTTCTTTGTTAATTTGTACACTACAACCTACAACATGTCTTCCCCATTCTCACCTGTCTGAATTAGTCCAAACGCATACTAGGGTTTTCATATATTTATCTTGTAAGTTTTATCCGCAAGTCTTTTATGATTGTAATTTATTGCATAGAATATGACGTTGAACTAACTCTTTATTTAACGATATATTAGTGACTCTATCAGTTTTAACCCAATCTCATTAAACTTATAATTCAAATACTTAACGGACTGTGTACGATATTATCAAGTATCTTGTTTTATTAGAAAAAAAAAAAGTGTGCTGAGTTACTGATCAGACATGCATTATAAAACCACAAAATGAAACATTTATTTATTTTAATTATGACATTATTGTTGTTTGCTAATTTGTACACTACAACCCACAGCAACAAGCTTCCCCAATCTTACCTGTCCTCTTTTGGATGAGTTCGTCCAAACGCAAACTAGGGTTTTCAGGTTTTAAACTGTTAGTTAGTTCTATAAAACAAGTATTTTGTAATGCATTGCAAATTACGGACCGCGAGGCGCAAGATGGCACGTCTGCATGCAAGACTGGTATGCTCAACCAAATTAAATTTTATTTTCTATAAGGTATAAAAATTCTGGTTATAAATTTCACAGACTTCATGCAGCATTTATAATTTATCTGAGACAGACACAAACAGTTATATATTGAATTGAGATCCTCTTCAAATCTTTAAGAACTAAGAGATTTGGGTTGTTAAACCGAAGAGGAAGAAATTCGGATCTTTAATTTATGTGAGTATGAACCGGTAAAATTGATTAATAAGAATTGTAAAATTTAAAATAAGTTATCTGAATTTTCTGATGCATTAGTATCGGATATAAAGATCTGGAGAGAAATGGGGACAAATATAAAGAAAAAAATCATTGAGAAAGAGAGGATAAGAATATAATAGGCAGTGGGGGGACCCAATGAAAAATTGAAAATGCATGAAAAGACAAGTGAGATAGCGATTGATTTGCCAACCCACTACTAAATAATTGGAAAAATGAGGTGGGAGGAGCCCTCAGTGGATTAACACAGCCGGAGATGAAATTTTCAAACCAAATTAAATTATACGTCACTAAAATACAAGAAAATCTAATTTATTTGACAAAAAAATGAAAGATAAAGTGAAGAGCATCAAATAATAGTTGATTAGATTGCTTTAGAAATAATAGTTGATTAGATTGCTTTAGAAATAATAGTTGATTAGAAAGCAACTACAAACAAAATTGTTAGACAAATATAAGATACATGTCTATCGACTTAAATTCTTCAATGTATTTTCTTCTTCTTGTCTCAAGGTTCTACAATTGCAGACTTGAGACTATCAAAAATTTCTTACACAGTACACAGAATGGGCCGAAACCACTCTAGGCTCTTAGTGGCTTGACTCATGCTAACTTATTAAACGTCAGGAAAGGGAGGTAGAATAAGTGAGATCAAACCAGTACCAAGACTATAAACATTATTACTTTTTACTACTATAGTAAAATGCCGTTTGCCTTTAAAATGTAATCATAAAAACAATAAAATTACTTTCGGGTCTCCAACATGAACTTTAAGAATCCTCGCAAAATTGAGGTATTCACAAGATTTTTTTTTTGGTGAACAGTATTCACAAGATCTTTGGCGTGTGCAATAGGTACCGTTTGGTACGTAGGACGGGACGGAACAGAGTGGGACGAGGCGTTCCGTCCCACGTTTGGTGCGCCTAAAACGGGTGGAACGCGCTGTTCCACGGGATGAATTTTGGGTGAATTTTCGTTCCGCCTCACCTTCTGGAACGACTTGTTCCACATTTGTGGAACACAAAATTATAATATCTCCGTCTCCTTCTTCTTCCTCCTTGTTTCCATCCAAGGGCATCTTTACTCCCTCTTCGTTCTGTCCCGTCCCGTTCCGTTCCGTTCCGTCCCGTCCCGTCTGCATGCCAAAGATACCTAATGGAACTGTCTTAACTCACTTCAAAATGATTTTTATAATGATTTTTGTTAAACTATACAAACCTGATAAAAATCATGAGTTATATAAGGCTATAGCGAATCAGTGGCCAAATTAAAATTTTAGTTTAAGAAGGGCTTAATGTCTCAATCTGAAACTCTCTCCTTATTTATAAAATTTATTTTGCATGTGATAAGCAACCAACCAATGTTATTTGGTTTTGGTATGTTGTTGTCTTCATCATTCTCTGTCTTAAACCTAAACCTCAAGCCTCTATGACTTTCTTTTTCTCTCCATCCAGTGATCTCTAGACCAAAGTCTTACTCAAAGCTCACAAGCAATAAATTGTCTAAACTCGATAAGAGCCACTCACCTCAAATCAAACTTGATGTAAGAAATTAAAGTAAAAATGTCGGATTGGGAGCTTGAGCTTACGAAAAATGTTAAAAATCATAAGCATAACACTAAACTTTTTTAGCCAAAATGGTCTTTAAGATTTGCAAAACTCCTCACTTTGGTCCATGAGATTTCAAATCATTTGGCCCATTGTTTATTAAATTGATAGTGTTTTTATCATTTTGGTCCCTATTTAATATATTTTTTTATGGAATGATAAAATGATTGATGTTGGATAAATTCAAGAACCTTTTTTATTGATTTCAATTCTCAAAGACTAAAATGATGAGTTATGCAAATCATATATACCATTTTGATTAAAAAACCAAAAATGTTAGAATGGACATGGGAGCTTCGTGATCCATTAATTGCTTCGCCTCTGTGGCCAATTCAATAAGTAAAAAAAAAAAATTATTAAGATTACCAAGACCGTCAGATTTGTTTAGCAGTGAGCGTACCTTGACAAGCGCTAAACAAACCGTGCTTTGCCTACATTTAAGCTAAACACATGTGCGCAATCAAATCTATGACTTTGAATGCATAAAAAAATACGCTTAACAACTTAAGATACAAATATCTTGCATAGATCTTATTTATATGTATTGTTTTTTATTCTTTTTTTTTTTATTTTTAATTTTTTTAATTTTTTTAATTTTTAATTTTTTTAATTTTTTTAATTTTTTATAAAAGAACTTCCAGTAGTTTCGTGTCAACTATA